AATAAAAACATTAAAAAATTTTTAAAGGCAATAAAGATTTAATTAAAAAAAAAGTGCCAGCCCCGCCAGGCGACCTAGGAGCCAGGAGGCCACGGGAGCGGCTCTGGGAAGCCTGCGTTTGCGGCTCCAGCTGCAGGTTAGCCTCACGTTCAGCTGGACGTTGGAAACCCAGGTGTGTGCGGCCACGCTCTCGCCCTCTGGAGGCGCCAGGGAGCTTGGATGGAGGGCCCACCCGCCCCAGTAGGACCTCCTCTCCACCTCCTCCACCTGCGAGGACCCAGGTGCTGGGGTGGTCTTCAGTGGGTGAATGTGGTGGTTGGGGGACACAGTTCAACCCCTGGCAAACGCCATAGTCACTGTTTTCTGTGGGGGATGCCCCCCCCCACCCCCCGTCCCCCAGACATCAGGTCAGCAGCCCAGGGCCTGCCGGGAGCGGGGTGGGCGTCCTCGCAGGGGGCCCCGTGGAAATAGCACAGGTTCACGCTGCCCCCACCCCCAGGCCTGTGGCCACTCACGGGTGTGGCAGCAGCCGGCCCGGGCCTGCCGTACGGGAAGCGTCCCCATGAGGAAACGGGGCCCACACGCCCGGGCGCGGCCTGGGTGTTGGCGGCTCCTTCGCAGCTGACGGTCAGTTCACTTTGCTCAGTAACACGACATGTGATTGTTATAATGCAACTCACATGTTGCCGAAACCAATCTCCGCACATTTCATCCACTCAGCGTCCTTCGGTTCTGCCTAATGCCATATTTCCTGGCAGCACAAGATGCTCAAAACCCTTCCCCATGACAACACACACCCGCTCTTTTTAAAATGATTTATTATTTTAGAAAATGGAAGGGGGAGAGAAAGAGAAACATCGATCGGTTGCTGCTTAAACATGCCCTGACCTGGACTTGAACCCTCCACCTTTCCCTGCAGCGGATGACGCTCCAACCAGCAGGGCTAATGGCTCTTTTTCTTTCTTCTTTTTAAAAAACATTAATTTTTATTGATTTCAGAGAGGAAGGGAAAGGGAGAAACATCAATGATGAGAGAATCGTGGATCAGCTGCCTCCGCACACCCCCCATTGGGATTCAAGCCCACCACCCGGGCCTGGGCCCTGACTGGGAATCGAACCGTGACCTCCTGGTTCCTAGGTTGAAGCTCAACCCCTGAGGCACGCAGGCCGGGGTCATCCCTGACACAAAGCCTAAGGAGGCCAGCATTTGGGACCCACCTTTCCAGGGACCCAGGGACCCTGCGCTTAATGGTGTTCCACCCCAGACCCGCCCCTCCCCACATCTGCCTCTGGCTCAGGGGTGAGGGCCCCGGGCTCACTGGGGACGGCCAGAGAGGGCAGGCTGGGGTGGGGGCAGGACCTGGGACCTCACTACAGACCTGTGAGACCGCGGCATGGGGTCCGCAGAGCCGCCACACAACGCAGCCTCGCCTGAGGATCCTTGTGATTTTAAAAACTATTTATTGCAAAGAGCCCTGGACAGTGTGCTGTGCGGCCGAGACCCCACCCCACCCGTCCCAGGGCGAGAGGAAAACGCCTGCGACCCACGCGACTGTGCTGGCCACACCAGCAGCCAGGCG